TGTATGTATTTCCAATCAGTCTCAACTTGGGAATTTTGTTTTCTTTTGTCATTGCAGTTCCAATTCACGAAGTTCCCCAGCGTGCTGAAGGCTGGCCATTGCCATGGCGGCGTGGCCACGGCCCGCCTGGAGAACCAGAGCGCCTTGCAAGAAGCCGCGGGACTTGTCAGCGGCGCTGGCAACGATTCGCATTGTTATTGCACCATCGAGCCCTACATCGATGCCAAGTTCAGCGTGCACATTCAAAAGATTGGCAACAACTACAAGGCGTTCATGTAAGTGACCAAAGCTCCAGACCGCAGACAGCTGGCACCGATCGGCCGATCGACCGATCGACTTGACTCGATATCAATGTAGATGGCCATAAGGTCGAGTGCCTGACCTTGGACTCAACTGCCACTGTCGGCGCGCAAAAGCCAACTAAAAGCCGTCCAATTGGCCATCATCCTACCAAGTGCAGTTCATTGTTTGGGTTCAACGACGACGACGACGACGACTTTGATGTCGGGTTCAAAGCACCCAAGTCGAGACAATTGTCTACTGCTATGCATTATCAACGCTCTTGCAACTAATTTATTATGTTTTCATGCATGCTTACAACTCCCCCCCTCTCTCTCTCTCTCTCTCTCTGGCAGGCGCAAATCCATCACTGGCAATTGGAAGACCAATCAAGGCTCAGCCATGCTCGAGCAAATCACTTTAACCGAGAAGTACAAAACCTGGGTGGATGAGGTAAGTCGACCTGCCTGAAACCCAAAACAGTTAGTCAAATTTGAGCCGAAATGCAACACGCTCGAGCTCATCGATTTTCGAATACACTTACGAATGTTCAGATCATGTATGATATAATGGAATTAAATTATGATATATATGATAGATACAAATTAAAAAATAAATAAACATAACATTTAGATTTATAAAGTGTAGGAATAAATTGCAACTGAAACGAAATATATACATACATATATCTATTCTCCAGATGTATTATATTAGAGAAATCAAAAATATCTTCGAGTAAATATAGAAATATTTCAATATTTTCAGTGAATCCCCTAGGCTTGCTATTGTATTCACTGCAATGTCTTTGCCTTGCCTGCCCTGCCCTGCCCTGGCCTGGCCTGGCCTGCTGAGAAAACTAATGTGGCCCAAATGGCTAGCAGAGATTGGGCGTTTAAGCCGCATTTACGAGCAGCCAAATGAAAGGCAGCCGAGAGCGGCGAGCACATTTATCAAACGCTGCCAATCAAAATTGCCAACAAAATCGACTTGAATTATTCGCGGCACATTTTTTGGGCCAACAATTTGGATTTGGTGGGCTTTACCCCTTGGCTTGTGTGGCGCGCGCCGCATTGAGCCAGCTTCGATTCGAGTATTCGCATATGCATGAATATGCGGCGCACTTAAAATAGATACTGCGCGCATTAGTTATGATGCAACGGAACAGAGTACCGCAATAATTACTGTGAAACACGAGAATGCCATCAATTGAGGCATTTCATCATTGGCCATAAATGGCATAGAACTCAGCGTGCAACTCAACGCGGCTAGGCCCACTGCGCTGACTCAGAATTTCCGCGTACGCGCACAAATGAACTTCAGCAACTGCAATTTGTGCATTACTTAGATAAACGGGCGGGCAATGCGGCAATGCAGCGACGGCGCTTTAGGTGGGTGGCCCATAAGCCAGGCCTCGCTC